AATTAACGGTGCTGTCTCTTGTATCACCGAAAGACGACAAAATTAGAAATTACTATTCTCTCAGGAAATGAGACATTTTGTCACCTTTTCTCGTTTGTACCTACATTTTTTTTTCGGAATCCGATTTTTTTTATACCTAACTTTACAAAAATTGCAAAACTTGCCGCCTCCTATTTGCCGCCATGGGCCTATGTGGCCACCCCCTAAATCCGGCCCAGACGTCCATCTTTGGAAACCTCCGGTATTTTTCTTCTCTGTTAAAAGAAAACTCTGTGAAATCTTCAAGGAATTATATTGATTTGTTCTCCTTAAAAAAAAGAAAAAAAATAAATAAATAACGAAGGAGCGAAGATTTTTAAACATCGCCAACGAGATACGTGGTCTGGCAGTTTCATCGTCGATAAAACCCTTACCCTAGGGCTTCGCCACTTCCCGAACTCTCACGTGACGACGTGAAAAGAGGGAGAGGGTAATCCAGCAGTGCTTTTTCCACCAATCGGATACCTACCTATTGTGGGGTTTTTTGTTCTTTAAAGAACAAAAAAACCCACAATACCTCTCATGATTTGTTCTGTTTGGGCGAGTGACGAAAAAACGTGGAGGATAGGTATACCAATTACGCCGTTCAACGGCTGTCTCTCATTCCGGAGATCTTCCTAGATAGTAGGGCGGATAAGGGGGAAAAATTCCCAGAATCGTGCATTTCTGGAAGAAAGCATGAAACTTTCAGGATATCATCTTTACCTATAGAAGGTTCAATTTCGCAAGTGAGCCCAAAATTCTGAGGCCATGGGGGCCGGGGGGGCAGGGGTTCCGAATTTCCCTATGTTTTGCCGAATTTTCGCGTTGAATCATTGTCAGAACGCCGTTAACAATGTCAAATGTAATCAAAACTTGAGTAAACGTCATTAGTAGGTTCTCTCAAACAGTATCCTAAAATATTATCACCGTCCGATCCCGGAGCACCCCTCAAAATGCCTAAAATTCAAAATGGCGCCCATAATAAGGCCTCCGGAATATCGGTATTTTCACTTGTGCATATCCTGTCATGTGAGGTATCATTTTCCATGTAATTTGGGTCGCAAATTTCATATTTGCAGTCAAAACAACCCCACGGTCAAAATTTGTGCCCCCAATCCAAGATGGCGGCCAAATTTTAAAGGCAGGAGGGTGCATTTTTTCAAATTTTTACGTGATAAGGCAAGTGATATGTCATTTCCCATGTAATTTTGGTCGTAGATTTCATTAATGAAGTCAAAAAAGTCCTCCGGTCAAAATTGGTGCCCCAAATTCAAGATGGTGGCCAAATTTTAAAGGCAGGAGGGTGCATTTTTTCAAATTTTTACGTGATAAGGCAAGTGATATGTCATTTCCTATGTAATTTTGGTCAAAGATTTCATTAATGAAGTCAAAAAAGTCCTCCGGTCAAAATTGGTGCCCCAAAATCTAAGATGGCGGCCAAATTTGAAAGGCAGGAGTGTGAGTTTTTATGAGAAAAAAAAATCACGTGAGATGACAAGTGAGGTTTATTCACAAGCATTTTTAGTTAACAAAACGAATCTTAATGAAATGTAAAAACAATCTTTTACACAAAAATGATACGAGATAATTAAGAGGGTGATCAGTTTGGCCGTCCACGGTAGGAATGATGTTAACAGGAGCATTTATAATGAGCTATTTTATTCATTTTTAAGCCCATATAATTTCTCAATAAAGATAAGGACATTTCACGCGACGCACCTGCCGTACCCTCTCCAGTCAGTATAGGAGAAAATCCTAATCAACACATGCTGATTCACATTCCCAGTCAGGCTCTTCAGGATCTTCCTCCCACGGTTTTGTATGTTTTTACAGTTGGAGTCTTCAGAACTTCTGAATGAGTCTAAGAACGAAAAGATTATTTACTTGGAAGTACAGCATGGTGTCACTCCCTTTCTTACAATTACACTGGATAATTTTAAACGGGAATTCCAGGAGCTGGTGGCAAGTCACTTAAAATAGGATGAAGCTCCTTGTTTTAATTCATCCATCCCCAAAGACAAGCATCCAGATCACTTCATCCCATCCACAGTTGAGTATAAAAGTAGCTCCTAAATTAATGTTACCTACTTCATTGCTGATGGTGTCGAGGGTAATTTCTCTAATTGAATGAAGAATTTGAAAGCTGGAACTTTTTCCTTCAATATGTGATGACGGAGGTCGTCGAAAGTCACATTTTTTCGGCTACCGTAGAGGAGTAATATTTCGACGGTGAAACAGCAAAAGTGCGTATCTTGGTTGCAGGATTTCAAAATATTCGCTCCTATTTTATTTTTTGAGAGGGGACCAAACCAACATCATGGCTTGAAATTTTTACAGAATATTCCTCACATAGAGAGTAAAAACAAGCGAAGTTTTCAAAAAATGACGTTCACTGTTTTTTGATGAAGGAACTGAAGTATGACAAGAAGTCTGCAACACCGCAAACCGGAATACATATTTAAGCAGTTTCACCATCGATTTACTCTTTTCCAGCTCTTCATATCCGTTCATGGTTTTGATTAGGTTCCAAGAACCTTCCCTTAGATTCTTGCAGGTAAGAATCAGATAAAAGCGTACAGAATAAAGTTGCTGTTTCTGTTTTATGGATGTGAGGGGTTGAATCGCAACCAGTAAACGCATGCAAGAACAGCGATCATCTCGGATTTTGCGCGTTTAACATCACTTCGAAAACGTGCAAAGAAACATTGGTGCCTGCTCATCAATTTGATGGAACATAGGTTTGTGCAATGGATTCGTAAGTATACCTAAGCTTTGATCGCACTCGATGGAGTAGAGACCCACCTTCTGAAACCGACTGAAAGTTTTCTATCTTATTTTCGGTACTTATAAATCGTTCATCCTCCGAGTCTAAGGCATCTGAAATTGAGTTCAGAGTTTTTGTGCAATAATCAGTAAGACACCTCACTATTAGTGGCTCATCACTTTTCACTTGTCAGCCATGATGGCAAAGATCTTGATTATCTCTTTTCATTTTTGTGTAAAAGATTGTTTTTACATTTCATTAAGATTCGTTTTGTTAACTAAAAATGCTTGTGAATAAACCTCACTTGTCATCTCACGTGATTTTTTTTTCTCATAAAAACTCACACTCCTGCCTTTCAAATTTGGCCGCCATCTTAGATTTTGGGGCACCAATTTTGACCGGAGGACTTTTTTGACTTCATTAATGAAATCTTTGACCAAAATTACATAGGAAATGACATATCACTTGCCTTATCACGTAAAAATTTGAAAAAATGCACCCTCCTGCCTTTAAAATTTGGCCACCATCTTGAATTTGGGGCACCAATTTTGACCGGAGGACTTTTTTGACTTCATTAATGAAATCTACGACCAAAATTACATGGGAAATGACATATCACTTGCCTTATCACGTAAAAATTTGAAAAAATGCACCCTCCTGCCTTTAAAATTTGGCCGCCATCTTGGATTGGGGGCACAAATTTTGACCGTGGGGTTGTTTTGACTGCAAATATGAAATTTGCGACCCAAATTACATGGAAAATGATACCTCACATGACAGGATATGCACAAGTGAAAATACCGATATTCCGGAGGCCTTATTATGGGCGCCATTTTGAATTTTAGGCATTTTGAGGGGTGCTCCGGGATCGGACGGTGATAATATTTTAGGATACTGTTTGAGAGAACCTACTAATGACGTTTACTCAAGTTTTGATTACATTTGACATTGTTAACGGCGTTCTGACAATGATTCAACGCGAAAATTCGGCAAAACATAGGGAAATTCGGAACCCCTGCCCCCCCGGCCCCCATGGCCTCAGAATTTTGGGCTCACTTGCGAAATTGAACCTTCTATAGGTAAAGATGATATCCTGAAAGTTTCATGCTTTCTTCCAGAAATGCACGATTGTTATGCTTATCCGCCCTACTAATAAGAGCACATCATGGAGGTGAAAAATTCAGAAAACTGAAAGGACGCGGAGACTGGTGAAATGAAGAAGAATTGTGAGCTGTTAATTGTATTAAAAAACCCGGTGACTGTTTTGTTCATATATTCGTGCTTGTCAGGGCAAATGATGATGACAAATAAATGCTAAATCTTTCTAAAATTACTGAGTTTTCCTTGTGTAAATCCAAATCAAAAACTATGGCAGGGAAAGAGGGAGAAGGAGAGAGTTACAGATTATTGCTAAAGGTTCGCTTCAGTAATAGGGGCTGGGTCTTCATAAAAAAAAAAAAAAAAACACTTTTCTCTTGGGTAAGTATTTTTATATAAAATTTTCACTTTCAAAGATGTTAGTGCCAAGACTTTTCCAATGAAACTAAAAACATAAAAGGTCTGACCAACTGTTGAAATTTTATTTTTCACTTGGAGCAAACAAAATATGAGAGGAAGAACTGCTCACGACAACATTTGAACATTAAACTGTTGTATCGATGGTGTAACTCCAAGTGGCAAAATGAAAATATTTTATGAAAAATAATTAATGAACAAAATTTAGAAAATAAAGAAAAAGTAGCTAGCATTAAAGAAAGGAGACAGACAATTTAAAGTATGAGTCACTATTTACCAAAGAAAATAGGTCTATTTTCTGTCAACAAAATGAATCTATTTTCCGTCTAAAAAATTGATAGGGCTATTTCCTGAAGAAAAAATATCCAAAAACCTGATGGAAAATAGAAAAAAATTGGATATTTTCTTTATCTATTTCTTAGAAATTTAAAATTCAGAGAACATGTAGAAAAAACACAGAATGTAGACAACAAAATTTTCTTGTATTTATTGTCCGGAACATGGACAGAAAATAGAAGTTTTTTGATAATTTTCCTTTTTCTATTTGATAAATCTATTTTCTTTCCATTTCCTTTCTAATTTATTTTTCTGTTTGGAAAATAGATAATTTTTAAACTAGTGCCGGACAGGAAATAGAACCCTGTGCTACTTGGGACTGGAAAATCAATGTGCTTAGGTACTAACCGCAATAAATTGTTGGTTTTCAATTTTTGATCGTATTACCTTTATTCAAAAATATATCATTTGATAGTTTTACACAGAGTTATCGAGGAATATTCTTTAAAAATCACAAAAAAATTATAAAAATTTTCGACCATCAGTTACTCTTCAAAAGAGTAAAATGTGATACCTACTTACAATGTTCTTACCTACTTACAATGTTCTACTTATGTAAAAAAATGCATTTTTTCTAGTTTTCCTATTAATATGTGATCAATGCAGATGTCTATATCCCTTTTAATTACTTAAGCAATATTCAGAATTTTTTGCAATCATAGAAACTGTAAGCTTTAATGTAGTGAACGGGGAAAAAAATTAGGCTCTACAGCACATGTTTTCTCATCAACACTTCATGTAAAACGTGTTGATCATGTTAACAACTTTCAAAATTAACTCATTGGTACATGGGAAATAAGTTTCAAACTTGGTTCACCTTACATACAGAGAATTCAAACTCCCAGCGTACAAAAAAACTGGAAGCAGTGCTGGCCAAAGTAAACGATTAAATCAAACAGTGCATTAGGCAAAAAACTAAAGTTTGGTTCTACACACAGCTTCATCCTTTTCTGATACGAGGCACTTTTTGTCTTATCAAAACAAAAGTTATTGCACAGGAAAATTCTTCTGTCATGAAATACATCAAAATCAGTTTAGTGCTCAGTTTGAAATCAGTAGAATCTGGACTTTAAAGAGAGAGAAAAGCAAATTAACATGGAAAAATACCATTATTTTCCACTTATGAGTTGAATTTTGAAAGTTTTAATAAGTCCATCATCCAAGGTTGTAAAATGGCAGGAGTCTCCATAGTGCTTAGAACTGACGGTGATTAGGTATTCTACTTCAAGAGCCTCAAAATGAGAACGATGATTGCATCACAATTTATGATCAATTGGTGATACTCTTAATGCATGACCTCAGATCCAAAAATATAAATCATCGCCTCTTTATTGCGCACTTCCCCGAATCGAATGTTTAACTTGTAATGGTCATCGTTTGAGCGTCTCTTTAAAGTTCGGTAAAACCTAAAGGGAGAGGCAGATCTAGCGAGTTCATTAACCGGGATTAAATCTGATTTAGGTATGGTGTCATCAGCTCTGTTTCCATCAAAGTCCAGGTAACTGATTACAACTTGTTTTCCATCTTCCTTTAAGTATACTGCACCCACGAATCGATGACAGCATCGACTTGCAAGATAGAGGGCTAGGTAAGTAGATCCACCTGAAAAATGTAAAAAGATATTCGAAGAAAAATTTTAAATATCTTCAGGATAGTCCAAAAGTCCTCCACCACAAGCACCAGGCATTACCCCTGTAACTTTTTTACAGATTAAAAGAGAGACTTGAAATTTTAGTGCCCCTGTGTTAAAGAAATGACTTTTGGGTAGCCCCAAAATTTAAAGCAGACCAACTTGAAAAGAGGCAAGAACTAGGTATTTATTGGGTGGCAACTAGGTGTTTATAGAAGTGGTGCGGGGCTTTTGGATTACTCTGTATGCTGCTGGGATTTATGCTAAATAATAAAATTTTGCCAAAACACAAGTTGAGTAAATGTTCTGACTTCTGTCTGAAATGTATGAATGTCAACAAAAACCAGAGCTGAGATTTGCTGCTCATAAAAAGACGTATTATCGCCTTGAATCCGAAAGAAATTTTGTCTGCCTCATGATACTCATTGTCATGAGGAAAGTTCAAGAGTAGGACCATCCAACTTGCAAGATAGCTCCTCAAGTCAGTTGGATCCAGTGATTCGTTGCTGTCGAATTCCCTTGGTCCTGCGACACTCGCGGTGTATAGAAGCCTCCCGCGGTAACCGCAGAGTAGGCACCCCCCTTAATAAGATACAAGAACATACCGTTCCATGAGTCAATCGCTAACGAATACAACAAAACCGTACATCGTCTAAGTCCTCTCACAACATCATTACCTAATTTTATCTTATTAGTAAAGGAATACCTAATTGAATTTTGCTAAATAGGTATTTTTAAAATTCTTAAGTACCTTCCCACTTGGTCTACTTCTACATGTTACCATTGAAATTTGTAATCAGTAATTAACTAGTTAATGTATAGAATAACTGAGGAGACCCGTTAAAGTATGGAATGTCCGACAATTATGTACGTTCATGGGTTATTGTATAGAAAAAAGAACGCCTCTTGGGGACAGTGTGTAATGCTCATCAATGAGAACCAGCATCTGGGGAATGCGGAAGAGGAGGAGGGGGTGCGAGAGGTTGAGTGATTGAGGAACGTCAATTGATAAAATTGTGGAAGGTGATAGGTTTTTGTATCGTATTAAATAAATGAATGTGATTTAAAACAAGAAAGAAAAAAACAAAATTCAAAAATGCCTACAGAGAAGTCACCTATCCTCTGTCAGTCTCAAGCTTATTGTGTAATCCTAGATGTCATTCCTTGTCTTTGTGCAAAAATAAATAAACTTCTGCTCAACGTTCACTGAACGTTTCAGTTACAAATAAAAAAAATTGTCACAGTAAATCAAATTTCGTACTTAAAATTTGTTTGATGTTCACTGAACTTTTCGTCTTCGGTATCGCATTGCGTTGCATTGCAGGTTTCCTTGTTATGCGACAAAAAAAAATTCATACGATCAAACGCTTTCACTGATGGGCCTCCAAGGAATCTACAGAATAACTAGATATTCTATGCAATAACTAGTTAAAGTATGAAATAGAAATTCACTTTCATGCTTTAACTAAAACCACCCGTTATTCTATACATTAACTAGTTAATGTATGCATTTACTGAATTAAGCACTTTAATGGTAACTTATACATGGTATTTATGCGATCTTGGCAGAACCTACATCCTGAGAAAAAATTTGTAAATAACTCCTATCTGCTTCTCTACCTCTTTGTGTATCTTTCGGTAACTTACCTCAAGAACTCTGATGCAATAAAATTCACAGCAAAAATTTCTAGTCTTCAATTAACATGGAGTTCTTTTCGTTCCAATGTTGTTGTTTCCACCTCTCAAAAGCTTTGTAGCATGAAAAACGAATTGCTAACTGCTTAAATTCTTATGAATGTACTTTCAGAGAAGAGGAAGTACAAAACATCCGCATACTTAATTAAATTAACTAGAGGTGCAATTACCAACTGTAAGGGCAGCCATCCCTATCTCCGAAGACCAATAGTCCATTGCGGCTACAATAAATGCATTGGCACTTACAACGACAGTATAAAGCATTGTATACCTCCTCATTTTGCACACGAATCCTAGTTTTGGAACCTTTTGAGCCCTGAAAATAACATTTAAAAAAATTCATAAAAAATATAAATACCTATATTTTTTACGATAATTAGACAATAAGTGCCTACTTGGATGGGAAAAAAAGAAAAAAAAAATAATGGAAAAGTTAAGACAAGAGAATTACAAGAGGACCTGAGCAGGATGATTTTGAGAGTGTGCTCCAAATCATAGGTTCACTATCAACAGTGACAGTACTTACTAGGTATATTTTACATCATGATTGCCATGTTTCAAAAGACAGAGCAACACAGCGGTTACCATAGTTGCAAACTATGAAAACCGTCATGGAACCAGAGAGCAAAGTTGCTTTGATCCACTCCATCTCTACTATATTCTCAGAGATTGACAGGTAGATGGGCCTTTGGAAATTTCAAGTCCCGCAGGGTCACATCCAAAAAATGAGTGGTGCAGCCGGAGTAGGAAAGCACCAGCTGTGGGCTGATCAGTGAAATTGATACACAAAGCTATAAGCAAAGAAAACGAAGGGAAAATGAAGCAATTCTATTGGTTGAAACGCTTGGTTGTTACATACGAAGGGGGAGTATTGTGGACCAACAATAGGGTCCCTCAGGAGTTGCTGTTACTTAGTTAGTTTCGCTTACCTCCTCTGTCCATTTCAACCACTGGCTCCCACCAATCCTCCACTGTCCCTTGGTCTGTCTTCTTTACTTATACCTTCGTCAATCTATCATGAATAATTAGCCTGCTGGAGTCCCTATAGCTAGAAACTAGCATTAGAAACCATATTCACAGTATGTTAGCACTATGGCAGCTTTGGGACAAGTATCTTTGCCGCATAAAGTCCTTACCAACCTAAGTGCTGGTGAACTCCATCAGTGCAGTACAATTAGAGTGGAAGATTATTTAATTCTCACTAACCATTGAGGATGAGGTTGTGTTAGCAAGAAAAGAAAAGGAAATAAAGTCTTACCAATAAATGGGGAGATAATCAGGGTAGACGCTGCTTCTTCCATCAGTGAGATTTGGGCTATTCCTGGTCAGGTTTAAGTGCTGGGATACTATTAGATTTCTTCTGTGAATTAAGGATAAATATGGACTTGCAATAGAGGTGATACTGCGTAGCCTGGAGCACACAGGTGAAAACATACTGATTCGTCCCGGAGAATAAAAGTGACGAATGTGACAGATGCAAACAGACCTGGTAAAAATAAAGAGGGAATTCTTTAGAATGTATTTAAATATTGTGAATATTGTCCTCTTCAGTACCGGTAATAAAAGGCTCATTACAGAGAAATTTAATTCATAAATCCTTCAACTGATCGATTATGTACTGGGTAGGTAGATGGATAATTGGTTTTACATGCTCATTAATATTTGAAATTAAAATCTTACAAATAAGACGAAATTAGAAATGAAACACGGTAACACCACAAAATATTTCGAGTGACAGTTAATTTCTGTTATAGGTAACACTATCAAACTCAAAGTGGGACAAGCATAGACTCCTAAGCTTCGAATATCAATTACAGTCGAAGCTACCGGAAACTATGCAAAAGGAGGAAAACCCGCAACTTTTCAAAAGGAGTTGTGAGACCCTTCTCATCGAAAAAAGCATGTACTTTATAGATGATTTCCAATGCTTTAATTTTATTCTAATGTTGTAATTATATTATATTACAGTGCGTTTGTAATGTAGGTACTCAGCTGATTCTGATCACTATATACCTAAATATTTGACACTATTTCATGTTTCAATTTATTTTGAAATTATAAATAAAGATATGAATAATAAGAAGATGAGAATAAGAGATAATTATTATTATATTAATATTAATCCTTACAAAAACCTTGTTCAACGAGATCACTTTGAGGTTACAATAACAATAAACACCAACGTAGCCAAGACTACGTCATAATTAAAATTTCAAAATATTTTACCCGCCAAAATTCAGTCATTATTGCGACTCCAACCAATCCTAACCTCGTAAGCACGTTTTCGTTTTCCGTCCGTGTTACCGCGATTTTGCACTCTTCGTGAACGAAAATCTCGTGTCTCGACCTCGGCCATCCACCAAGACCATGGATTTTGCATAAATTATTTGTTGCGTGTCATTTCATGAAGCTGAAGCATGAACAATACCTAATTCAATCATTCCATTGAACGTCAGTTGTGAATTTCGACGAGAATTCTTTTACTGAGTTTTGAGGGGTACTCCTAAGTAAGTATCCGACGGCCTACTCGTGCCAACTTCTTTTGCCTTTGCCCTCTCAAAAAATTTAGCTCTTTTCCTTTAATCATTATATGTAGACTCATTGTCAGTTTAATATCCAGTGAAATAATCGTGAGATCCCATCAGCAATATGCAACTCTTCCGCAGGCGTTAATGCACTTCAGTCAGTGCCTAATTTAAGTATTTGGAGCCGAAGGAGTTAGAGGTGCGGAAAACGCCTGATTATGCGCATGAAAATGTGTGAAGAGGGGCAATTTGGGTGGGTCATAAGCCGGAAATTAAAAGCTACAAGAAGATGAAAGTTCTAACTTTTGAAATTGGAGGGAAATTTTGTGAGAAGCTGGCGGGTAAGCATATGAAATCATGGAAAATTCTGCATCTCTGTGGGAGGCAGTAGTGCAGTACATGTACTCATTGAAACTGTTCCTCAACATGGAAAAGTTGATGAAGTGAATCAAGAATCAACCTAAGGCTGTACTCATCTTTGTTTTTGTTGCCTGCAGCCTGATCGTTGAAATTTTGTTCTCCCAGTGATCAACTGGAGAGAACTTTCCTTTCACCCTGGGCCGTTTAATCAATGTAAAATCTCGAAAAATCTCGATCGCTAGTGAGATTTTCCTCTGTTCTCTTGTAAAAAATCGCTTGAAAGAGCGATTTTTTGTATGTGTGAGTGCGCTCCCATAAGATCTGATGTAACCGCTTATCGTATTAGTGTGTATTTTACAGNTGACGTCACAAAACTTCAAGATGGCAACAAAAATCAAACTGGGACAATAATCAAAGAAAAGGACTGTGGTGATTACAAAGGAATACCTAAATGATCATTCATTTTTTCGAACCCTTATAATTTAAAAAAATTAATTTGAAGTGAAGTACGTATTTGGAGACTTTACATTTTACTGGGAGAACATCCAATGCCCAGCATGAGCATTGGGAACGTCATTCGTGAACTCAAAATGACCGACTTGTTTTGTAGGTCGGGACGACATAGATGACGTAGGTTAAAAGGTAGAGCGTGATTGGTCGGCTGTGTCTTATCGCTGCTTTGTCGTGCCTTTGTCAGGTGGAATGGATGACATACTGTCGGAAACTTTAGAGGTGCCATCAGCTTGTCATGAGTACAACCCGACATTGGCACAACAAAGCAGCGCAAAGACAAAGCCGACCAAATACGCTCCGCCTTTTAACCTGTGTCATCTATGTCGTTCTAACAAACAATAAATTTCAACAATCAGGCTGCTGTGGACGCCTTCGAAGGTTTGATTTGGACCTGATAACACTTGAAAAGATGACAGTTGCAGAGATCTGGTTGTAGCCAAACTGTCGTAGAGTGTATCACAGAGGTTTAGTACAAAACCATGGAACTTCTGAGTCCATGTGTATAAAATCATCAGTAGCCTATCTTTGTAAGCCTGCGGGCTGATTATTAAACTCAATAGGCAAAGAAGACACAGGGAACATGGAGGGGTACTGTTGGTTGGAACAGGTAGCTTCACAGACAAAGGAAAGAAATGATTGACTTAAAACAGGATCTCTTGCGGGTTGCCGTCCGTTAGTCTATTGCTTACCTCCTTAGTCCATTGCAACCATTTGCTCTCACCTACAGGGTTGCTTTATTTTCAGTGTGCCGTCTTTGTCTACTGCTTTGTCTACCAATTTCAATAATTAGCCCTCTGTAGAATCATTTTCATCAAGAGGGTTGGCAATTACAAATTGATTACTTACTTGGAGACATCTGTTTTGTGCACAAATTTTTAATCAAGTAAATTGTATCGCAATCGGCAAACTTTTTGCAGGGTTTCTTCGGAGGGAGACTCGTGTCAGATTTATGATCTGAGAAGCACCATTAAGTACTTACCCATGATGCGGAGAGAGGTACTTGGAACAGATGATTGCCAATGAGCCTTGAACCATTCTTGCAGTGCTCTCTTTGAATCGGAAACCAATGCATTTCTAATTTCTCAGTTTTCAGAGCAGCAGCCATACTACTGACTGAGGTTCTGCCAGCTGCATGCTCTATTACTACCTAGTTTGGTGGCATTCACACACCTACCGTAGAATATTTTGAAAATGCCATGAGTTGATCTCGATTCATTCATGTTTAAGGTACTTATTCAAAATGCAAGATGAGACACACTGATAAAAGTCTGCCAGTACCAGTTGATAATCTTGTCAACTCCAGTTTGAGTCAGTAAAAAGTTATGAAAAAAAAAAATAAAAAAATATCGCTACCTAGTTTTCAGTGAAATATTTTCAAGACTTGGAAGTGGAAGAATTTTCTTTTAAAAGAAGCTAGTTCTAATTATTTTTTTAATAATTTTTTCCCCTTATTTTTCTTCTATCCACTAATTGAAATCTTTCCTCACATTATATTGCCAAATCCTTTGCAACAGAATGTCTTTAACTTTTCTATTTTTTCTGACACCTCTCAGTCTCCTTCAAGTTTTAAAATTCAAGGAACTTCGTTATAAGGGACTGGTCGAATTATTTTCACCTCAATTACTTACCCACCAAACTTATTAATAGTGATGGCAAGAGAAAGAAGTAGTAGGCTCAGCCAATGGCAAGTTATGCAACCTTCCTCTTGACTCACATTGTAAAGTCACCATAAAATATTTTTTTGTTTTGTTCGAACAATTACTTTAGATTTACTCCTCGTGCTGCTTGAGACTGTTTCACCGGCATCATTTTTGTATATGCTAAACTTATTATCTTCAATGGAAAACTATCTCTCAATCTTAGACTAAGTGGAGTAGGTAGGTATTACTTAAAATCTCACTCATTTTGTCTTTTCTGACTCTTTGTTCCAGTATCCAGAATCCAGAATCCAATCAGTAGCTAAACCATGTCGACCTCAACCTCTCGAACTACCCGATCCAAAAAGGCAGATGTTTCTCAAGAGTTATCTCCCCAAACAACGGGAAGCATTGATGTGAATTCAGGAAGCGACAGTGGGGTAAGAACCAGCAGTAGACTCAGGAATCGCACAGAAAGTATGAGTAGTTTGATCGATGAAGCCAGCTCTACGCTCAATACCAGTTCTGCAAAGTTGAATAGTCTGAAAGAAATTGATGAAAATGTATTGACACAATCCAAAAGGAGCAGCAGCAGGCTAAGTCAAAATCTTAGTCAAGAAAACGTAACAGCTGAACAAGGAAATAAAAGGTGTAGCAGCCGATCCAGTAAGATTTCAGAAGCAGTTACTGCTGAAGATGTTCCAGACAATGCACCCACAACACGGTCAAAAAGAAGCAGTAGCCGATTAAGTCAAACTTCTGTTGCAAGTGATAATACTGATGGAATATCTCTCTCTCAGCAAGGCAGGAGGTCGAGCAGCCGCACAGCAAAAATTTTAGATGCTGTTGAAAATGTCTTGACTCCACCAACAACACGCAGCAGTAGTCGCCTGAGTCAAATATCAGAAGCAGAGAGCACGGAAAGCTTGTCCAATATAACCACACGTCGGTACGGCACTCGTTCAAGAAAAACTGATAGTGACACAAACATGGAAATTGCCACATCAGGTAGAAGAAGCAGCAGTCGCCTTAGCCAACTTTCAGATAGCTCAGAGAATTTGTCAGTAATCATTGAACCAGCATTCACCCGTTCCTTGAAGCAGAACTCTGATAAAGGACCAAAAGAGAAAGTGATTTCTGAGGTCATTGATATGTCTAATGTCTCCGAAAAAGATACCCCGTGCATTGCAATAAAAGAGACACGAGAAAATAAACGTGAAAGTAAAAGGCTCAGCGTCCGAGGCAAATCAACCCTGGAAGACATTCAAGAAGTGCAAGACGAAATTGCTCCAACGAGACGTAGCACCCGGTTACGAAGAGACTCTGAATCAACAGAAAAAAACGAAAAATCAACTCCAGTGAAAATTGGAAGCCGAAAGAGCATAATGTGTAGCACCCTTCAGAGAATACCGGATGAAGATGAAAACAAAGTTGGAAGTTCGCCTGAGAAAAAAAACCAAATCAAGGAAACAATCAGTGCATCAGAGAAAGATCAGGATACTGCTGAAGAAAATGGAAACGTAACAGAGCCAGACGGAATCAAATCTTCTGTTAATCAGGAAGGTGCAAATGAAACGTCCAAGAGTTCCGATGCCCAATTATACAGTCTGATCAGTTTAGAAATTTCCAGGGCCTCTTCTTCTGAGTCCTTGATGGAAGCCCATGATAAGTCTGAATCGAAGAGCACCTCTAAGAAGAGACAGGGAGCTTGCAGTACAGCATTAATGTCCGAAAGGAATGACATTCAAATTAAAACATCTCCTGCAAGGAAAGAAGTGAGTTCACCAGTAAAGCAAACAGCCTCCAGTAAAGAAATTAATTCCGAAATTAATGACATACAAAGCAAAGCATCTCCTGCAAAAAAAGAAGGGAGTTCACCATGTAAATCATTCCAGAGAAAGCAGTGTGATATTAGTGTGGTTGACTGTAATAAGAAATCTACCCCCAAGAAATCAGAACGAACCCTGCATAACTCCTCTGTCTGTGAAAATTCAACCCATGAAATGAGCCTTTCCTCCTCAGATACTGTGGTCCAAACTAAAGACGCTGTCAAGCAAGACGATTTAGCGGATCTGAAGGTCTCAGCGCAAACCGATGAAGTTTTAAACCCAGCAGTAAGCTCAAATGATTCGCATCTTTTAAGTGATCAAAAAGATGACGAAATTGACCCAAAATATTCTAAGGACAAACCTTCGGCTGCTGGGTCAAAATATATAATGCAAAATTCACCGAAGAGATCGAAATGTTTGTCTGTTGCAACATATCCGCTCTGTGAAGATGGTTCAGCCCACCAAAAATCCGAGACTTTCACCAAACTGACACTTCAAGAAACCAGCCTGTGCTGTTATAAATTAACATTGGATGGAACAAGCAATGAAAGCACAACTCAGAATCAAGTGTCACCTTCCAAAAATTCAAATATCCAAGATAAGATAGCCCTCTCTCCCCGTAAAAGTCTGTCGATTATTGATCCGCCAAGTCCAGCAAGAAAAATTGATTCCTCTCTAGGTTCTGGACCCAATAAAGAATTTCAAGAAAAGCTGAATAAAACAATCACCAACAGCACAACTCAGAATCAAGTGTCACCTTCCAAAAATTCAAATATCCAAGATAAGATAGCCCTCTCTCCCCGTAAAAGTCCGTCGATTATTGATCCGCCAAGTCCAGCAAGAAAAATTGATTCCTCTCTAGGCTCTGGACCCAATAAAGAATTTCAAGAAAAGCTGAATAAAACAATCACCAACAGCACAACTCAGAATCAAGTGTCACCTTCCAAAAATTCAAATATCCAAGATAAGATAGCCCTCTCTCCCCGTAAAAGTCTGTCGACTATTGATCCGCCAAGTCCAGCAAGAAAAATTGATTCCTCTCTAGGCTCTGGACCCAACAAAGAATTTCAAGAAAAGCTGAATAAAACAATCACCAACAGCACAACTCAGAATCAAGTGTCACCTTCCAAAAATTCAAATATCCAAGATAAGATAGCCCTCTCTCCCCGTAAAAGTCTGTCTTCTGTTGATCCGCGGAGTCCAGCAAGAAAAATTGATTCCTCTCTGGGCTCTGTACCCAATAAAGAAACGAAAATGTTAGCTCAAGAGAAACTTGATGCCACTCAAAATGAACCATCCGCAACCTCTCAAATCTTTTCTCAATCTGAAACTGAGAAGAAATCTTCAAGTCCAATGAAAAAAGCTCTCAAAGAGTCAGATCCAGTTGCATTGAAGAAAATTAAGAAATCTGAAGACTCCAAAAACGCAGATTCTAAGCATAATAAACTTGAAACTGCGTCAGATAAATCAGAAATTACAAAAGATGATGTTTGTGTTGCAGTAGAAAATAAAGAAAAAACAAATAAATTAGACCAAGAGACTGAACTGAAAAATCATGCTGAAAGTGATGATGATAATTTGTGTCTGGACGGAGGCAGTGACTCAGATGATCCTGAATTATTAAAGATCAATTTCAGTGAAGATGGAAGTAGCGAGTCATCAGATGATTCCTCTAAGGGCAAAGAAGAAGATCAAGTTCCTAAAATCGTTCATGAGAATGAAGATATTATCACATTAGATACGAATAATAAGTCACAAACAGCAAAACAAACTGAAGAGATTTCAGAACTTGATAAAGCCAACAGTGTGGATTCTGATGATGATGTTAATTATGAAACTTCCATCAACAATCAATCCGTAGTAGTTCTGAATAAAGAGCCTCCAAAAAATAAAAGAGTGTCCTTCTCAAACGATGTTAAGGAACCGAAAAAGTCCCCCAAGAAATCAACGTTACTCCTTTTAAGTGACCCTGACTATGTGTCAAAAATTCAAAACTACATCAGCAATGAACTTCAAAGTAGACAACAGTTGAAGCAAATTTCCAAATTAAATAACCCAAAAATTGTCAAACCTTCGAAAAAAGTTGATAAACCCATAGCTCTGAAAAAAGAAAAACCCAAACCTTTGGAAAAGCCGGTTGAACATTTGAGTAAGAAAATCAAAATCGATGAGGTACCAAAGTGTGCCCTGAAAATGTCTTCCAAGAACACGGATCAAACATCGTCAAGCCAACAACCTAAGCCCATTGCTAGTAAGGCCATGGAGAGGAAGAAGGAACCCTCAAAATCGTTGAGTAAGAAACAAGCTTTGACAACTGATAAGTTTAGCCTCAAACCCGTAAAACCCTCAAATGATAAGTTTGCAAGTAGTAACGCAGAAACCCTAACTCAAAATGTTGGAAGCTCCCATCAAAGTTCCTTGTGTGCGACAAGTAATTCTGATCAAGAGACGAACAATTTTCTTACAGACAAGTCGAAGAATAAAAGGAAAGTTGAAGAGAATACTATTGCATCTGCTTTGAAAAAAGCAAAATTAATTCAAAATGATCCCAAATTTAAAGAAAGGGCAGAATCATTTCCTCAAAAATCGAAGAAATCTAATAATACGGCTGGTCACATTACTGATCAATCTAAGCAGAAGGTAGCCAGCACAATGAACTTCCAAGTCACCATTGGCAAAACCAAACCAATTTTTCATAAGTCTCTTCCTGCAAAACAGTTCACTTTAAGTGCGCTTACTTCATCTCAGTCAAATGAGAAAAATGAAGCCAAGGTGATTCCTGCCAGTTGGGGAAAAATCCTTGTTGAAAATAACCATCAGACTTCGAAAATCTCTCTTAAAAGTACATCAGCTGATGCGAAGAATAAATGGGAAGTCAAACCTTCCAAGGAGCAACCTGCAAGCACTTTTGAGGGGAAGAAAGTCGACCAGACTGCTTCAGCAAGCACCCAAGCACATATATCCGACAGGAATTTTGGTAAGAAAAATCTGATACCAGTCCCTGCTGTGACAAAAGTTGCGCCGCAAGTTCCAACTAAACCTAAACCAGAGCTAACCAAACTATCAGTTGCCAACAAAGCATCGGGATATCAAGTTTCGAATATTTCGAAGAAGAAAAAGAAAAAGAAATCCAAGTCTCTGAGTCAAGATCCAACAGAAGTGATGAAAAATTTAGCAGATAGTTTTGTTCAAACAGCAAAAAAACCCAATCTTAGCTCAAAAAGTTCTTTCAACTGGCCAACCAACGATGATGGTGAAACAATTGATGAAAATGACGATGTTAATGTAACTAGGTTACAGGAAAGAAAAACTTCACTTGTACAATTAAAAGATCAGAATCCTGTCAGCAATTCAAGAAAGCTAAGTGTTGCAAATGTATTCCAGAAACAGAAAGTACCCACTATGAGCATTGCTTCTGACAGCACCAGTCAATACTTTAAATCCTTTGACAAGAAGAAGCATGTAAGTAAAAGTTGAACATTTTCACTTCATATCAATTATTACTTCAGCTCTTCCAAAATTCTCTCGATCATGTCATCAGATTTCACGTTCTTTAATAATTATTTTTAAAAAAAAAAAAAAAAAAAAAAAAAAAAAAAAAAAAAAAAAAAAAAAAAAATAAATAAGTAAATAAATAAAATATGACAGGCAGAAGAATACCTATATATTTCTAACTACTACACATTTCACTGCTTTTGAAATATTCATCTCATAACATTTTCAAAGGGTTTAGAAATTTTTCAGCTGTGTATATGTGGGTGGATGAATATGAGACGAACCATGCACCTAAGCACAAAAATTGTTAGATAACCATACAATCCTAGATATTTCAAAGAGGAAAGAAGAAAAATGTAGATTCTCAAATTTTAAAAAATTAAGGGATTTTTTTTCAAAATGAAAAGGCCAATCAGAAAATTGCAAAGCTGAGAGCTCAATCCATTCATGAACAGTGCCTTACAATATCGTGAATTTGAGGACTCCAATACTTAACCTTTTTCCTTTGTTTCAGGGGGATCGTTTTGACAGAAAAAGGAAGCTCTTAACAACACCAGGAAGTGAACTGCCCAAACCAGCCAGTAAGTTCTCCTACTCAGATATGATTTAAAACACTTCACTGGGCCTTTTGAAAGAATGTTATAAAATCCAAATTGTCATTCCAAGCACTGATTAGTGAAGTTACATGGTCTGCTTTGTCGCTTTTTTTGGGAATGTTTGCTGATCAGAAGTCTTGGTATGATAAACGCCGGTGACTGTGCATGATCAATGACTCGAAAAAATTTAGTTCGCAACTTCAACGATCTTTCATCTTCCCTTTGCTGTACACCAAGACCTCATCTCCAATACCATGTTCACATTGTGAAACAAAGCAATCTGTTGTGAACTTTCTAATCTTTTAAAATTATTTTGTGACTAGATCAGAAATTTCAGCTGCCAGCAAAGCCCAGCATCAGGTTTAGGGTCTATTTTCATTTGAGGATTTTGAGGATTTTTATTCAGAACTATTAACGCTACTCTCACTCATTGCAAATAGAAGCCCAAAATATCTCATTGATAATACTGATAACCGCATGGCTTACGTGATTTTTAGTTCAAATGGCATCATTGTTAAGGTTGGGGTACACATATATGTCTTCAGTTATGATGAGTGGAAAAGGCATGCTGCAAAATATCTAAAAATAGTTGAAGCAACTGTCAAAGTAAGTAAAACTTCAGGAAGAAAGAATTAACATCCTTCAATCATGTAGGTCATGATTTTTTCTATTTGTTTAATTCTGTTTCAACTTCTTTTACAGAAAGTGCTCATTTAGAACCAGTTAAAGGCTCGCAAGATTCTGAGGCTGAACCGTCTTCTAACAGTGAGGTGTGTAAATGCTCTGACAATTATTTTGAATCATGGCTTTTAAGACCTGAAAGAACCGGAATGTATTGGCATTCATCAGGGAACAAAATTTTTTTCAGGAAAGCAAGTAAATCTCAGAATAATATCATTAAGGACCCAGAATTTGATGAGAAACCAGTGAGAAAATTTATGAGTTGAAGGAACTTATTGAAATATCTTTCAAGTTGGGGACCAACTGATTTCATAACTTGGTGACCATACTTTTCCAAGATACCTATGCGGACTATCTCAGCTAAGTAGGCTAACTGTGTAAGTGAGCATAAAGAGGTGACCAGACCACTTGCACGGCTTAACATGGTTTCCAGCTAAAATTAGTGAGGTTAGACTATGTTTCAAAAATAAATTGGGAATTCGTCTTGTTGCAATGTACAAAGAAGAAAAAGATAACAACGATCAATCTAAACACTCCTGGCCGGTTTCCTTGAAGACGGAAAAGCAAGGTCCATCATGAAACTTGACAAGAGCCGAAATGAGCACATCTTAACCAGCATGGAGTCTTTAAGGCAAGTTACAAGTTCACTTCAATTTTCGACGTATTATACTCCTCAATATTTCGATGGCATGTTCAAGCATTTAGATTCTGGCAGTACTGCTAGGAGGTGCAAAAATATCGTAGTCTATGTTTGCTAATTCTAAAATTTGTTTCCTCTCAATTTACAGGCTTTGAAAACTTTACCCGAGGATTTCTTAAAAAAATTAAGTCATCGATCGCAGCTGCTTCCAGTTTTGAACCAAGACAATCATGGCAAGAAGAAAAGGAAGAAGAATAAGAAGAAGAAAAATTTCCAGACATCAGAACAGGGTAAGCACTCCAATTAAAGCTTTGCTCTCCATAAAAGCTTTTAATTTAGAAAAATAATGGGAGATGTCAGAACAAAAAATGGATTAAAGTTTGTTTTTCACTTTTTCATTCAAATTGTGTGCATGCAGAAACGTTTGTGCTGTCTACTAAAATTCACTCATCGGCGAGATATAACACTCTCCAGGGACTAAAACCCAAATATTCTGTTGACAAGGAAAAGTAAAAACTACCAGGGTTTTCATTATTGACTTATTTTCCGATTCCCTGTCTCCAATCTGAATTCCTTAACCCTTGATCAAAATCTTCACTTAGATTTATTTTCTTTAAATTATGTTGACTTTCGCCAAACTATGGACAAAATTTCCACTCTAGAAATCCAAATTAAGGAAAAAGGCACTGGCAAGTTGTTTGCGCTCTCTCGAATGGCACTGGCTGAAGTAGCTTAGTCGATGCACTGTTCGCAAAATGCCCTGACTCCCCAGACTGCTGGAAGCCCAGAACTAAGTATTAAATTTTAAGTTCCAACAATGGATGTATAATTTTCGGACTTGGTTTTCATCTCCAAATTCATCTGAAAAAGTGTATGTGTATTTATTTCAACAAATGAGGTAAGACAAATGTTGGCGTAAATATAGTAGAATGAAGATCGACACAATTTTCCAATTAAAGTTTAATTAAAGCTATTTTTCAAAATTAAAAGTAGTAAGATGAATATGGGAAGATGTTGCCATTGAAATGTTTTTTTAAGGAACGCTTATTGTTACCGAAACCTTCTGTGCGATTCCTGGTGACAACAAGCTTTTAGTAAGGAAACAGAAGAATGATAATATTGTAGCCATGATACTTTATTTGTTTATTTCTATTTTATGCTGCAAAGTACTTTTCGAAGTATTTCTTCTAGATACTTGGAATTATTTGCTATCATCTCTCTGCTACCTTGCTTGTTTACCTACTCTGCCTATCATTCTTGTATCAGGATTGAATCGATGTAGGATTTCTCTAATGATGGGTATGCTTGATGATGGCTCTGCAAGCTGAAAAGTACTTAGCAACATGAAATAGAACTAAAAAAAATTAAGATATCATGGCTTCAATATTATTATTCTTCTGCTTTTTTAAATTGTAGATACCTGTACTACTATTATGTTTTAGTAAAGAAGAGACCTGCTCTACTCTGTAAGGAATGCCTTTTTAGAAATCTTTTATTCCTATAATTTTAGCTTGTTTGTCCAATCATTTTCACTCAGAAGAGGGAAATTCAGTTTCATGTGCACATTTTTCTACTCTTCATCAATGCGCCTGTAGAGGCTCCGATTTTGAACTAACAAATTCCAGTAAGTGTCAATTTGATAATGTAAACAATGTTTGATTTCAGGTGGAGCCTCCAGTGGTCTAGATGATGATTTCATCCCCCTGTCAGGATGTAGTACCAAATTCAAAGTTGTGGCTCTCAATGATACCTCAAAGCAAAGCCAAGGTATTTCTCATTCCAAGAATAAATTTCTCCAGAGGAGAGATACGAAAAGAGAACCAGGTAAGATAATTATCATTGCTCGAGTAGAAAAAATTAAATTTTTATCTTCGGATGATGCAGCCAAAATAACAAGGAATGACTAGGCTTTTGCTCTAAGTATATTTGAGGGGCTTGGAGGACAAGGCGCATAGTGCAGTTTTTGAAAAAAATTGAGGTATTAATGATATCAAGTAAAACTAGCTTAAATGCATATTCTGTAAACAATTTGCTCCTAAATTCCAATATTCAAGCATCAAAAAGTCAGTTTGAACTTTCTCTCTGCCTTAAAGATGCATGTAATTTCGAAACTTCAAATATGTATTTCTCGAATTAGCAAAAACTGCATTTATGCGCCTAGTCCTCCAAGCTACTCATTTAATTGTTCACAAGAAAAGGAAGCTCAGTCTTCGAGACAGGTTTTTTTTTTTTTTTTTTTTTTTTTTTTTTTTTCTGAGCCAAGACCAATTTTGTGCTCTTGATAGTTGTAGAAAGCTTCACAGTCTAGAAGTTTCATATTTTGTGTAGCCTTGAAAAAAGGTTTATTTTTACCTTTTTTCAAGGCCTCGAAAGAGTTTGATACTTCCAGAAGGTCCTTAAAGAAGGCTGAAGGACAATGCCCACAATACCAAGAAATTCAGCGCCAGCTAAATTTTGATGTAATTTGATATGATGTTCCTTACAACTTCCTGAGCAGGATGAACTTTGAAACCGATTTTTCTATGTGCCAGTCTCGAGAAGATTGAGACTATGAAGTGAATTTTTTAGACGTCTCCAAAGAATTTTCTATTGAAAGTGTAGGACTATCGCCATGTGTTAGGGTGTGTGTGGACGCTGCACCATGCATTGTTATCGCTCGGCAGAATTTAATTCTCTTTCTCGGTCTCATCTTACTTGCCCGGGAGGAAACAAAATTTCTCCTCAATCACCCTTCAGATGTTGGAACATTTGTATCATATATGACGTGTAAAAATGCTGAAATATTCACGCTTCAGTTCTACTACCTGGAGATTGGCTTCTAGAAAGTTTGTTTTTAAAAACTCATCATCCTAAGGAGGTAGTAAGGAGCATCATTTAAAATTATTTAGAAATTTAGATGGCGCCGAATTTCTTGGTATTGTCTGGGTAGCCCTTTTACCCTCTAATAATTGGCAGCGGTAAGGGCTTTTCGTTTAAAAATAAAGCATTTGAGGTTAAGTAGATCGTTTGGAATGACATTCTTATCACGAAGGCAGCTGTGATCTACTATCACAATTCCTAACTCAGTTTCACAGAGACATACAGGAAGAGAACTGTGTGTTCAGAAAAAAATTTCATGGAAGGCTCTGAGCCAGCTTGATTTTTTTTTCCAGGAAGCTGTATGAACCTGGAACCATGACCTAGCTGATGAGAGTAATAATAAGATCAATCAGAAATATTTAAATGACAGATAATGGTTTTTGTTACCTATAGTAACTCAAGGGTCCTTATGCTTAAGTTCTAAAAATCGCTCTGTATAAGCGATTTTGAATGAAATTTGCTGAATAAAGTTGCGTTTTAAAGCTATTTGAACGATCTTCAAGCTTGCATAGTGGACAATTTGCTGGCTTCATTTGTCAGCTCATGCAAAGGTTGGTGACAAGACCTGTGGAAAGCTGCTTGTATGAAATGACTGTAATGAATAATCACTCATCAGATTCTTTCACATTTCTTTGTTTCAGTACAAAATATTCTCAAGTATAGGCAAAAGATGAGTAAACCTGAGAAAACAAAATGGTTCTCTACAGTTTCTTAAAGCAAGATTTCCTCAAACTTATTCATCCATCTCAGCAGCCGCCATTGATTGCCTTGATGGTATTTGGATGTAAGTCCTATTGTACCTATCAATGATCTTTCACAAGTTAGGTAGTTCCTTTGCCAGTTTATCATTATCTTTTATTTTTAGCTTAAGAAAAAGTTACTGAATTTATGCATCAACGTTCGTCTTCTTTTTTTCATTTTTTTACTGTTTGACTCATAATGACATCAAAGTAAATGCTTTAATGGAATTTTCTTTATTTCTATTACTTTTCCGTATTTGTTGTGAAAAATGTGTGCTCCCAAGTAGCCATAGATTACGAAATGCCTTAATGGAGTTTTCTGTATTTCTATCACTTTTCTGTATTTGTTGTGAAAAATGTGAGCTCCCAAGTAGCCATAAATTAAGTATTTTTGAATTTTTGTGCATTTATTGTTCTTCTGTTTTATTCAATAACATATTTTTCTTAGCCATAGATTACGAAATGCCTTAATCGAGTTTTCTATATTTCTATCACTTTTCTGTATTTGTTTTGAAAAATGTGAGCTCCCAAGTAGCCATAAATTAAGTCTTTTTGAATTTTTGTGCATTTATTGTACTTTTGTTTTATTTAATAACATATTTTTCTTATTTAAGTTGACTTTTAATTTTTGATTTCTTAAGCAATGGGTCTGTTGCAAGCAAGAAAAACAGCAAATTGTAATATCATCGGTTCCAGTAAAATTGCCCAAAAATTGCAATGGGCGTACCTAAAAGTCTGAAATCCACTCATTAGCATACTAACTTCATAGTTTGTAAAACGTTTTTTTCAAATTTTACATGTACACGAACAGTTTTTTCAGTGGCCAGCAATCATGTTTGCCATTAAAGAAACGCAAGAGAATCTAACCTTTAGAGACCAGCAATCTTTTTAACTGTTTTAAACTTTTTCTGAACATATATATGATTTTTGAAAACTTTGTTTCCATAAAACAAAGTTCTAAGGAGGGAAACTAACACTAGAAAATGGTTGGAATCATACGCGAGAAAATGTTTGCTGTGTTGTCTTTTTGTTTAGCCTAGGTTTTCCTCCATCTCTTTTCAGACAAACTTGGTCGCAGGCGACTAAGATAAATGCGGGCATCGTAGACACAAGGAATTTGAAGAAACAAGTTAAGTACGAACTTAGCAAATAGTTTGCTAAAGAGTGGATTTCACTCTTTTTCATAAGTCCATCATCACTGTCAAATGATTTTATCTGGAGTATGTCTATTTTTTTTGGCTGTATCTCTTACCCAAACAAATCCATTGTAATTATCCGGAAAAACAGCCAGGAAGAAATTTGTCCGATGTAAAATAAGCACTGTCGAAAAAATGGTGGAAAAATTTTTGAGCTTTCGACAAAAAATTCTCCTCTAGAAGAAGTATCCGATCAAATAGTTGCAAGTGGTTCAGACAATTATTGCACCCATGGAGGATGCATGGTTGAATTTTACTTCAAGTATTTTGAACTCTCAACCTGGCATCACAAAATTTTGTATAGAAAAAAAAAAGAAGCTTTATGTTATCATAGCTCGAATTTGAAATTATATTTTACGGCAGCTTGAATTGCTTTATTTTGATCTGTCTCGATATGGACATTCAAACTTTAATTTGATATTAGAGGTCGAATTTCTTATTTTCTATTACTATTTTTAGCTCAGAGTAATTTTTTTTACTCAATTTTTTGAAAAGAGTTAATTCCCTTAAGCTAAACATGTTCCAAGCAACACTCTTTTGCTCATAATTGAAGGACCAGCATGAGAAAACAAGTTGAACTTGTTCAAGTTTGTTGAAAATGTGTAACCATAAATCTATAGCACTTCGATAATCATGAAAAAAAAAGGGAGAAAAACTGAATATTTAAAGTATTTATAAAATCCATCCTTATTTTAAATGAAAAATGCATGAATAACTAAAATAAACAACTTTATTCATTATTTTTGAAACCAACGGGGGAGGGTCGTATAATAAAAGATGACTCAGTATTAGTGCTAAATTCAAACATGTAGATCTGACAACATTATAATTTTCTCATGAACTTCAGTACTGTTCATGAACTAGGTCTGCTGTACGCATTGTTTTTTTTTTTTTTCCTTTCTTTCTGCCATTTTTTTTTTTCCTTTCTTTCTGCCATTTTTTTTTTTACATGGAACGTAAGAATTGCATTAAAATCCCACTAAGCACATCAAATAAGCCTGAAATCCACTCTTAAACATGCAAACCGTGTACTGTATTACGCTTTTCAAATTTCTCTGGTCTACCGATACTGTTTCTCAGTTGGCGATGACCAAGCTTGCACAGACAGAGGAGTGAGAAATCCTAACTTGAATAAACTAATTATCTTGCAAACTTTTTCAAATGTATGATTTCGAGCACTCGCACTCTTCTTTCTATGTTTAGCAAAAACTTTAGCTTTGAATCATTTGTAATCTTCTGCAAAGATAATTGCTTACAGCTCATGAGATTGTTTATTTCGAGTAGGTTTTCTCAAGTCTCACTGGAAAAACCTGACTGCTGGCCACATAGTAATTAGAAAAAGCGTGTTACAAACTATGTTTATTACGCGCTACAGAGTGGCTTTTAGACTTTTTTGATGTGCCCGACATGATTTTTGGGCGATTTTACCAGTGGAAAAGTCTTATGATTTGCTGTTCCTCTCATGTGCAACAGACCCATCTCTATTTAATTTCCTCAAATTTTTGGGCACATTACTTCACTATTTTAGCTAGAATTTAACTCAGTTTCTTCTATTCGGTAAAACCAAATTGGATGATTGAACAACTTTCTCCTCAACAAATAACGTATTTATGATAAATTGTATCAGCTTACAATGTAAAACAGCAGTCATAGGAATGATAGCACAATTAATTCATTAAAAAAATAATTCACTTAAAGATAATGGGATTGGATCCAAAACATTTCGTATGTAATACTATTTACTTACAACAGGGATAGTTAGAGATCAATTCAATAATAAATATCAAGAGCGATCCTCTTCGGCCAGTCTCTGCTCATCTTTTTGAGATCTACTCTCCCACCATAGCTTGTATAATGAAGAATCGGCTCATCCCAAAATGATCCCATGAGAAATCATTTTAATGAAACTTCTTGCCATTGCTGGGCAGTAGGAGGCTCCATGAGTTGTCTGCAGGAATGACTGACCTGTTGGGATTGATCTTAACAAAAACTAAGATACAGAGCTTCCATCTTCTGTGAATCCACACAAAAGATAACGATGGTGTATGTCCCTAACCACATATCTCAGTTTGCGACGTTGCAGACTTCCTGTCGTGCTTAATTTTTTAACAGAAAAACTATTCAATGGAAATTCCTAAAAACTGCCGTGATTTTTCGAAGAAAATTCTGCGAAAACATAAGGGTATGATGTCAATTTACTCTTTTTTGAAATAATGAAACTGCATAAATTTTCAAACGAAATATAACCGCAGGCCCGCCACATCCCATCTTGGGCCCTGGTACCAGTTTTAAGGTCCGGGGCCCAAGCACGG